TTTGAGAATGTTGTATTTGTTCCAGCAAGGGAATTGTAATTGGAATGCAATACAATAAAATATTCTAGAAAACACTTCCCAACCTCTTGACTCGTGAATGTCTCAACAATGTAAAAACTTTAGAAACTAAAAAATCATGGTTAAGCCAGGCACAGTGGTTAATGCCTGTAATCCCAGCACTTTGGGAGGAAGAGGCTAGAGGACTGCTCGAGCTCAGGGGCTCGAGACCAGCCTGAGCAACATGGTGAGACCTCATCTCTACAATAAACCAAAAAAAGTAGTTGGGTGTGGTGGCACATGCCTGTGGTTCCGGCTACATGGAAGGCTGAGGCAGAAGGATCATTGTGGTGGCCGTGAGCGTTCCACTGCACTGCAGCCTGGGCGACAGAGTGAGACTCCAACTCCAAAAAAAAAAAAATCATAGATATGATAATACAAATTTAATGTACTATATAATAATATTTATAAAAAGAAACAGATGTCAGTTCCTCCTTTTAACAAATGAGTCAAGGTATTAATTTTAAATAGTTGTCTAAAAATGGCTTGTCAATAAATAAAAACTTTGAAATAACATACTGTGTTTTGTTGGAGACCATATGAATATTAAGATATAGACTGAAATTCAACTACATGGTGAATGATAGCATTAAAACTAGACACAAACTTTTTCATTACCTACTAGTGGAATTCTTGACACTTCCCTGATTTATTGTGAGAAATCTAAGTGTTTTGTTTCCAAATGGCAAGAAAAGGGGAGAAGGTTTTAGGTTGCTATTTGTACGTTTCAGAAAATAAAACATATGGATGTGACAATTATTTTCAAGAAATAAAAAGTCAGATTAGATTGTGGAAGAATTTTTCACCAAATGACTGTAACAAGGATCTGAGTAAAGAGCATCTTTAGGCTAATTTGCAGAGTTACCATCCCTTGTGTGCATTCATTAACTTATTGCATGTCAGCATGAATGTTCCACAAGCATTCTATCTTTAAACAATGCTTCATTATGGAATCAAATAACACTATATGACTAGTGTCAAACGAATTGCAACTTTCTTGTCAGTGTGTGGGGCATGATTAGATCCTCATTTAAAGAAATAAACTGCAAGAATAATTTACTGGGAATAGGGAAATGGACTGGGTACTAAAAAATATTAAGGAACTGCTGTTAATTTTGTTAAAAGCAGTAGTGTAAGCCGGGCTGACACCTGTAATCCCAGCACTTTGGGAGGTGGAAGCAAAAGGATTGCGTGAGCCCATGGGCTCAAGACCAGCCTGAGCAACTTGGCAAGACCTCGTCTCTACAATAAATAAAAAAATTAGCCGAGTATGGTTGTATGAACATTTAGTTCCAGCTATTTGGAAGGCTGAGGTGGAAGGATCACTTGAGGCAGAAATCATGACAAGTCAAGGCGGCGGTTGCCGTGAGTGTGCCACTGCACTCCAGCTTGGGTGACAGAGTGAGACTCTGATTCAAAAAAAAAAGTGGTAATATAGTTATCAGCCAGGCACGGTGAATCACACCTGTAATCCCAGCACTTTGGGAGGCCAAGGTGGGAGGATTGCTTGAGCCCAGGAGTTTAAGACTAGCTTAGGCAACATAGTGAGATACCATTTCTACAAAAAAAAGTTTAAAAATTAACCAGGTGTGGTGGCACATGCCTGTAGTCTCTGCTACTCAAGGAGGCTGAGGCAGAAGGATTACCTAAATCCAGAGGGTCCAGGCTCCAGTTAGTCATGATCTTGCCACTGCACTCTACCCTAAGCAACAGACTCCCAACCCCCCCCCCCCCAAGAAAAGTATTATAGTTTTGTTTTTTTTTAGAAAGCAGGATTTATTGTGAGGACAGAAAAGCTCCCACAGTGGGAGGGGATTCGAGGGGGTTGCCCTAGTAGTGTAGTTTCATAGGGAAAATATCTTGTTCCTATGCAGTGCATCCTAAAGTATTCAGGGATGAAGTGTCATGATTTCTGGGATTCATCTTAAAATACTTCACAGAAAAATACAGCCAGGTGCGGTGATTCACACCTGTAATCCCAGCACTTTGGGAGGTGGAAGCAAGAGGACTGCCTGAGTCCAGGGATTCGAAACTAACCTAAACAACTTGATGAGACCTCATCTCTACAGCTGGGTGTGATGGCGGGTGCCCATGGTTCCAGCTATTTGGAAGACTAAAGCAGAAGGATCGCCTGAGCCCAGCCTGAGCACAGAGTGAAACTCCAACTCAAAAAAAAAAAAAATACTTCACCAAAAAGAAAAAAAAAAAAGATATGCTAGTAACTATTAAACCTTGGTGATGAGTATATGGGGCTCCTTAAACTTTTTCCTCTAAAAAAAGTGCTTGAAGCCGGGCTCGGTGGCTCAGCCTGTAATCCCGCGCCTTTGGAAGGCTGAGGTGAGTGGATTGCCTGAGCCCGCGGGTTCAAGACCCACCTGGGCAGCGAGACCTCATCTCTACAATAAATCAAAAAAATCAGCGGGGCGTGGTAGCACATGCCTGTAATTCCGGTTACTGGGAAGGCTGAGGTGGAAGGATTGCTGGAGTCCAGCAGGTGGAGTCTGCAGTGGCTGGAAGCGGCCACTGCACTCCAGTCTGGGCGACAGAGTGAGACTCCAACTCAAAAAAAAAAGTGCTTGAAATTTTTAATGTTTTTTTTGTTGTTGTTGTTAAAAAAAAAATGTAGTCAGAGTGGTCCCACCCCACCCTCGCCCTCTAGTGGCCAGTGGTGTTGAGCTGCCTGCACACAGACGGCCGGTCCCAGGGTGGAGCGTGTCAATCCTTTTCCTCAGAACACCACCGCCAGCTCATCAGATATTCACAAGGAGGCTCTTTTTCATTCTTTTATTTGTGGTTACTGAGTTTTTACAAATAGAAATGGAAGCAGACATCGTTCATTCCCCTGACAACCTCCACACAGAGCAACAACTTTTGAACCCTTGTGAATGTGCATGCCAGGAGCTGGGATTGGCAGCAGTAGGACACCTGGTGCCTGAGGAGGCTGGTGGGTTCTGTCACCACTGAGGTTGGCATAAAAGCTTTTCATCGGCGGCCAGTTACTTTAACTTAAAAAGAACGCCCTGGTGGAAACCTGGGGTCTTTTTTCTTTGGGAAGAGTAGCTACATGTAGGGTGCAGGGGAGGAGGAAAAAAGCAGACATTCTCTTAGCCAGCCTCCTCTGAACCTCCCTCCAGGTTAACCTTTCCTCTCACACATGCTGGCCTACATCCAGGCACACAGAGGCCTGTTTCTAGGTCTCCCCGGACACTTTTGCCCCTACTGAGTTGTCTGCTTACTGAGGGTTGCTTCTGCTTGTTCCAAAATTTGTTTATGCCCTTTCTCTACTGTTATAATTAAAGTACACACAAATCAATAAAACTTAAGTATAGAACTCCCACCAGACAACACGTACATGTTACCAAAAGTGAGCACAGCTTGGACCTACATCAAAAGTTTGGCAATTGGGTGAACTTTTTTATGTCTTAAAATATGTAAGATGTTTACAGTATACATTTTAATGTGTGATTCTCAACTTCTACCAATTATTTTAGTAAGCCAATCCACTCCTTCATCTTGTTAGTGTTGGACAAGAGGTTTTCCACCACCCAACAAGTTTCTATCCAGATTTGAGTAAAAATAATTCAAAACGAGATCATTCAAACATAATTTTTTTTTCCCACTGAGCTTAGTCAGGGAATAGATGGATTTCTCCCTGTTGGTGTAATTCCTTCTGGCATTTTACTTAAACTATGATTAAGGTCCACTTGTGTTTTCTGAGCATACACTGGTAGTTAGGACTCTTCACCTATCCCCGTGCACCCTACTACAACCCGAGAGTGTGTGAGGAGGCCACCTTGCCTTCCAGATTTTCCACAGATGATGCACACATTGGATAATCCATGTGCCCATCATCAAGATCTACCCATGTTAGAGAGTGGAAGCACAGTGAAGCTTCTAGCAAGCTCTTCTAGAACATTTCCCTCAGGTGCTTCGAGGTCAGTTAGGGGTTTGGGCATCACTTTCTGAGGAAAGTCAGCGAGCAGGTGCGACCAGATACAAAAGAAACCCCAGAATTCAGAGGCCTGGGTTCTTTTAGAGCAGCATTTGAAAGCTCTGAAGCTTAGTCTCCGGAAGGAGCTGCTGGGGCTTGGCTACATGTCACATGATGACACTGTGGGGTAATGAGCAACCTACCTCCACCCCCAGCTGCTTTTCTTGCACAGCAACTGAGACCCCCCACCCCCACCCCAATGCCAAGGTAGGAGATGAATCAGACAACAGGTAGGTAGAGATGGAGCCTTTGGACCTGTCCCATCACAGCCCAGAATTCAAGGACTCAGGGGCAGAGGCTCTTTGTGCAGGAACAATCTCACCGCCCATGGGGATCTGACTGCAGCTTAAGGCGGAAGAAGTGTGTCCCTCTCTGAGCCTCCGTTTCCTCATTTTCTAGCTCACCGGCATGGATCTAACGGTCTCTCCCTGCTGGCCCACGAGGCTGTAACCCACCTGCAGTGGTGAGATCAGTCAGTCACCAGCAGAGAACAAACACCACCCAGCAGGGCCCTTATTACCCACGGAGGGGTTGAGGTCGGGGATAGGAGGTGGGGAGGCGGTGGGAGTGAATGGGACACCCCCGAAGTTGGGGTGAGAACCCAGGTCTTGCAAAAGGCAGGGCACTCCTCCCCTTCCAGACAGTAGCAGCAGACGGCAGTGGGGCATGGACTGTCTGCCAAGCCCTTGAATCTGCTGGCTGGGTGAGGGGCTGCTCCAGGACTCGCGCAGGAGAAGGAGAGACCGGATGCAGCTCCAAGCCCCAACCGGGCGGTGGCCAGAGGAAGTGGGCGGGGCAGGAGAGGCTGCAGCGTCCTGGGATGGGGCCGCCTCTGGTCTCGGGTCTGGGGTGGGTGGGACGGTTCCAGGACCTGGCGACCCG